CACAGGGGCCACGCAGCACGACAAACCCCTCTGCTCTCTTGTTCAATGCACAACAGTCACAACAGTCAACAACAGCCGAAGAGACCAGCCGTCGGACACCTCCCACCCGCCGCCCGCGCGTGAGCGCAAACTCTGCCCCTCTGCACTGCATCACTCACGGCCCCACGCAACCCTACAGCTCCCCCTCGCCGGCGCAGCAGCCCGTGCAGTTGCAGCCGAGCAGCTCGCTGCTGCCGGCGCAGGAGAAGAGGCCCTCGAAAGCGGCGCACGTCGCCGCCGGGTTGAGCGGCGTGGCGCACGGGCGGCCGCACTCGGGCGGGGGTGCGAGGTCGACGTCGAGTCGCAGCGTCACCGACCGTTCCGTTGCGCCGGCGGTGCTGCCCCCCTGCTGGCAGCCCTCCCACGCCGGCGCAGCGCACCTGCAGGAGGCAAGGCAAGGTGAGCTTCTCCACACACGCAAGGCGGTGGGGGAAGAGGCTGGGCATCCCTCGCGACTCCACGTCTAGACGACAGGAGCCCCACGGCAGTTAGAGTGCAAGGCCCAATGCGCGTGGGTGTGCGTGCGTGCGTGCGTGCGTGCGTGCGTGCGTGTGTGTGTGTGTGTGTGCGTGCGTGCGTGCGTGTGTGCGTGCGTGCGTGCGTGCGTGCGTGCGTGCGTGCGTGCGTGCGTGCGTGCGTGGGAGGCGCACGTGTCGTCAGTGATGAGGCGCAGCGTGACGGCGCGGGCCTCCCAGTCCACGTCGACGCTGCCGACATGGTTCAGGTGGAGAAGCGCGCCGAGCCGCCGGGCCGAAGAGGAGAGGTCGGCGTCCGGCTCGTGCGGAGGCTCGTCGCCCGTGGCGAGGGAGGGCGGGACGGTGTGGGTGAGGGAGGACGCCGTCGCCTCGTAGAGAGGGTACGGGTTGAGGCCCGCCGCGGCCGGCTGCACGTATACGCCTCCCACGTGCCGGTCCCCGGAAAGAAAGACGACGCCGCGCGCGGCAGAGGAGCGGATCAGCCGGCGCAGCCGGCGCACCTCCGTGGGGATCAGTCCCCACCGCTCCCAGCCGTGCGCCGTCGAGAGCACCTGCACCGTCGAGAACACGAGCCGCAGATCCGCAGGCTCCCGCAGCCGCGCCTCGAGCCAAGCCCACTGCTCCTCGCCAAGCATGGTGAGCCGCCCCGCCTCCGCCTCCGCCTCCGTGTAGGGCGCGTACCGCCCGTGCGCCGCGCCGCTGTCGCGCTTGAGCTCGGAGCGGAACCAGCGCGTGTCGAGCAAAATGACCTGCGTCCGGTTGGGCGCCGCTCCGAAGGCGTGCGACGTGTAAAGCCCGCCCCGCGAGCGCCGCGGGTCGTCCTCCGCCGCGCCGAACCGCTCGAGGAAGAGATCCTTGGCGGTCTGCTTGTACGGGTTCGACGCGCCGCAGTCGTTGAGCCCGTAGTCGTGGTCGTCCGGCATGCCGATCACCGGCGTCACCGCCCGCGCGCTCGTAAACTCCTCGTGGGCGAACAGGTCCGCCCACGCAGTGCGCAGCTCCTCGCACGCCGGCTCGCTCCACGCCTCGTGCGGCCGCGCGACGTCGGCGCAGTCGCCGTACACGATGTCGCCGTTGTAAACGAAGAGGTCGGGCGCGAGCGACCCCACGGTGCGCCAGAAGGGCTGCGGCAGCGTCTGCTTCGAGCACGAGCCGTGCACGACCCGCGTCAGCACCCTGTCTGCCGACGGGAGCGGCGCTGCCACGGGCAGCGGCGGCGGCGCAGCAATCAGGTAGAAGAGCGTGTACGCGAGAGCAGCGGCGACGATCCCAAAGGAGCAGGTGATGGCTGCGGCCGGTCGGCCGGCAGGACACGCCTTCCGCACAAAAACCTCTCGAGCTGCCGGCGCTCCGGCCGCGGCTCGCAGGTCTGGCTGCTGGAGCTCCAAGTTGTGCGGCACGACCTCGCCGTCGACGACGACGGTCCCGACTCGCGCGGCAGTCATGCAAATTGTCACGCTGTTGGTGTGCGTGTCTCGTTGGTGTGTGCAGCTATAAAGCCGCGGCGAAGATAAGCAATGCCGCGATTTCTTCAAACCTTGCGCCCAATCGGCGTTCCTCGACAAGTCGAACTCTCCATGACCGGCCGTGCGTGCCCCTGGTTCACCTCCCTCGACGAGGACGTCGAGGCCTACGTCCGCTCTGTCGCTGAGGACGCCGAAAGCGACTCGGACCTCGACGGCATCGTGGATCTCCTCGCCGCTCATGGCATCGGCACCGAGGGGTCAGAGGACATGCGAGCAGAGCTTCGCTGCCTGCGCGAACAGTCAGCAACGGCTGCGCCTGCTTCGGGCCGTGTTGAGAGGACATCCACGGCATGTTGTGGCGAAAATGGCGGCAGAGGCGGACACGGTGGCGACGTCAGCAGCTGCAGCAGCAGCGGTGGCGGCGGCAGCGGCTCCGGCCGCAGCAGCGGCCGCAGCAGCGGCCGCAACAGCGGCCGCAGCTGCTGCGCCAGCGGTGCTAGCCCGAGCACGGGCGGCCGCTCCCTCACGGCGCCGCTGGCGCCGCCGACGCCGAGCACGGCCGAGCTGACGCTGCTCGAGGTTGTGCCGGCCGCCAGCGCGGCGCTGGCGAGGCACGTTCTGCGGTGCGAGGGAGGCGACGTGCAGGCGGCGATAGAGGTCCTGCTCGGCGGCAGCCTCGAGACGCTCGAGGAGGAGATGCGGGCTGAGCAGCAGCGCGCGGCGCAGCTGGAGGTGGCCGCCGCCGCGCAGCAGCAGCGGCAGCGCAAGGTGGACCGCCGTCGCGTGCTCGGGCGGTACGACGCGCAGCGCGATTTTGACGCGGAGGGCGGGGCGCCTCCGCCGCTCGAGCCGCCGCGGCTGCCGTACGCGCAGAGCCGCAAGGAGGCGGTTGGGGGCAACCGGACGATGTACCGCGACGGCGAGGCGGTCTATGTCAAGGGGAACCCGAAGCAGGAGAGCAAGTGGGAGAAGAAGGAGGAGTGGGACGGCGGCTCGACCGGCCGCGTCAAGACCAAGGGCAAGCGCGGGCCCGGCTGGAGGTAACGGGGTGCGTCACTGCGAGCATTGCGCTGTTTCGCCGCTGTTCACCATAAAACGTGACGAACGGGGCTAGCTTTTACACATATCGACACGGTGTCTTACTTACCGTACGGGGTGTGGAGGGTGAGTTGACCAGGGGGTTGTGCGCCGGGCCCTCCTGCTCCGCCGCAGGCGCCTGTTGATAGGTCCATGTGATAGCCCTGGATGGGCAATGCATACGCCTCACTGGACCTCAGATCGCCCGACCGCGTCCCGGTGCTCTGCCGTCGGATTTGTGACGCCGCCGCACCGCGCCTCGGCCGGGGGCCCTCCGGAGGCCGAGGATGGCCGTGGCGGACCGGGACGAGCTCTGGGAGGGGGGGGTGTCAGTGAGTATATTGTAGAGACTAACCATGTGCACAATAACTCTCAGTCTAGCTAAGCGAGGGGAGGCGATTCCGGGGCCGTACAGCAGCTTGACGTGCTTCGCCGGCGTGCGTCCCGGAGCGGTGCCGGAGCGCGGCGAAATCGGGGGACACCGTCACCGACGAGCGCGTTGTAGTATTCACTCCGGACAAAGACCGCTGCACAGCGGACGGTACGGGCCGTGCAGCGGTCATAGCGGCGAGGCGCGGGACCGTCTGTGGCGAAGTGGGTCGCGTCCCCCGATTTCGGTCAACCCAGCATCCACACCCTTTACGTATGGTAAGGTAAGGTAAGGTAAACTTCTCCACACACACGAGGTGGTGGGGCTATGGGTACCTGCGACGGTGTAACTCGAGACCCAATGCAGTTTTGCGACGGTGTATCATTCACTTTATGCCACCGTTGCATATCCGGATCTGAGGGGTGGCCCGTCTACCGTCTACCGGTAGACTGGGGTAGACTGGGGTAGACGGTAGACCGTTTGGTAGACGAGTCTACCGGTAGACCGTAATGAACCTACGACCGCAGTCTACCGGTAGACTTGGTAGACCGCGGTAGACTGGTCTACTCCGCGCATAATGTGGGTAAACGAAAAAAGTAGCGCCCAATTCGTCTACGTACGGCTTAGTGTGTGGTTGGGGTGGCCTCAGGCATCCCCAAGGGAGCCTCTGCGGTGCCACATAAGCAGCTGAGTGATTGTCGAGACTTTAAAGGATTCGTTTGAAGAAACGCAAACAAGACAAACGGTACTATGGTCACCAGTAAACGAAAATTCGACTTTGAGGGATCATATCTCAAAAGGCTGGGTGAGAGCATAGCATTATTGTTGCATATTATACCACATAAGGTCAAACTTGACCCCAGAAGCATCAAGAACCCGATGCTCCGGCTCGACTGTGCCGGCACACTGCCTCCTCGCGCACGCTGCTCGCAGGCCGTTGCGGCCCGTGGTGCACCAGAGAGAGAGGTCGACGCGTTGCCCCCGCTGGCGACCCCGCGCGGCTCAGGCCAGCCAGAAGGTGTGTGGTGACGGCACCGTGGCAGGAGTGCGGAGAAGAGCTCGCCGAACGCGAGCAGCAGATGGCCAAAGTGTGCCAGCGCGAGAGCCTCGCGAGCGGGCGCAGAAGGAGCTCGCCGTGACACGATGCCGGGCGGTGGTGGTGCTCTGGCGACTGTGCACAGTGGGCAAAGTCAGGCTGCAACAGGGCAGCACGTTGGTAGTGCCCTGCTGCAGCCTGGCCTGACATGCACAGGGCGAACAGAGGCGGTACTATCGTCCGGCGCTCGTCACCGAATCTGGGCGAACTTCGACCGCCGCCACAGCTCACCACGAGCACGCAGCGACAAAATGTTGACTGTATGGAAGTCGAGGCTGGTCCATAGGAAGAGGCTGCCGTGCGAGCCGGCAGCAGGCTGGCTCGTCGTGGACTGCCGCGTCGACTTTTTTCGGTGTCTTTCTTGATAGTACCGAACACGGTACTTTCGTTTACCCACACTCTGCGAGTACCCCTTTTTCAGCCGCCGAACGGTAGACCGCCGCCGCCGGACGGTAGACCGCCTCGGCCGTTTGAATATGCAGCCTCCAGTTCTCCACTCTGGCGCCACTTTGGCAGACGAGCGCCGGCAGATGCCCTCGCGGCCTGCCGGCGAACGTCCGTCCGGCGAGAACGCGCGCCATAATGGACGTGTGGCTGTCTGGCGAAAACTCGCTCTCGAGAGCCGCGAGAGGGCGGCGCTCTGCAGTGAGCGGTTCCGCCCGATGAGTGTGTAAAGACGTTCATTTGATCTCATAAAAGACACGGAGCGCGCCTCGCACGGAAATGGCATGAGGTGAAGCTCACAGCGACCGCGCTCAACAGCCTCTCTCACCGGCAGATTTCGCCCGCGCGGCAGACCGCACTTTCATCGCGCGTTCTCGCCGGACGGACGTTCGCCGGCAGGCCGCGAGGGCATCTGCCGGCGCTCGTCTGCCAAAGTGGCGCCAGAGTGGAGAACTGGAGGCTGCATATTCAAACGGCCGAGGCGGTCTACCGTCCGGCGGCGGCGGTCTACCGTTCGGCGGCTGAAAAAGGGGTAGACCAGTCTACCGCGGTCTACCAAGTCTACCGGTAGACTGCGGTCGTAGGTATTATTAAATGAACTCGGGGGCACGGGACGCGGCACAAACGGGGCACAAACGCCAGGCTACAAAATCATTGGTAGACTGCGGTAGACTCGTCTACCAAACGGTCTACCGTCTACCCGGTCTACCGGTAGACGGTAGACGGGCCACCCCTCAGATCCGGATATGCAACGGTAAAGTGAATGATACACCGTCTCAGTACCTAGCTCTGGATTGTGTTTCTACGTAGTAGGGGCAGGTGTGTACTTTTTTTGCTTGGGCGGACCTGATGCTGAAATTCTGCAAAAACCTGGCCGGCCCCTGCGGTGCCCCTACCTACCTACCTACCTACCTACCTTACTTATGGGAAACTAAAGAAGAAATCACTCGATGGGTGAAGCTGGGGTACTATACCAACTAGAGTGGATGGTTGGTGGTACTCTCCTGCAACCACAGTCCTTCTTGTGACATGGCAGGCCACTCTCAAGCCCTACAAGCATCAGATCACCCATTTGGGGAGGGTGGTTGACATCGTGATTTCCGCGGAAAATTTCTTTTTTTGAAAATTCCAGCTTGAAGAGAGGGAAAAACCCGACGGGAGGGCCCAGACCTACCCTACCTACCCCGGCATCAGGTCCGCCCAAGCAAAAAAAGTACACTGTCCTCTTCAATCTTCAGTAGGGGGTAGACAGCGCCCCAAAATCCACCGGTCGAGCGACCCGGGGGATGCCCCGCGCGCCTGAACCAGGCGCGAGAAACGAATCTGCGAGGCGTGGCCGCACATGCGGCCCGATGGGGAGGAACGGGGCGAGCCCCCTCCAACCCACCCGCGCTAGGTCCTGGGTGACGTAGGGGAAACCCGGCGAGCCTCGGGAACTAGCCGGGGCAGTCGGAGAAGGGGCAACTCCGTGCACTGACGGTCGGCCGTCAGAAAACACGCCTCCGTGGCTCGGGTTACACCAATCCTCGCTACCCAACGCGGCCAAAGGATATCCACCTCGAGAACTCGAGAACCACCAGTCTGGGATTTCGCGCAATCGCTTGACTCTGAAAAGCTCGCATGTACCTCCTGCAAGCGCTGTGGTCGCCGCAGACTGGCTCCGACTTGACGGCAGCATGGAGACGTGATGCCTCCATGCTGCCGTCAAGTCGAAATCGACATGCGAGTCGATCTTTGGCTCGCCAGAGGTACATGCGGCGTTTCGGGCGACAACAGCGCTGCGACCGCGAAGTGGCGGTGGACATGATCCCATGTTGCCGACGCGGCGCCGGAGTGGCCGTCGCTGCTCGCCACGACCACGACGGCTACTCTGGTACTCCGGGCCGACCCTTCCTACCCGACGGTGGCACTCTTCCACGTCTCGCTCACGCTGAGAAAAATTCTGAAACGCCGTGCAGCAGAGTCGCCGACGAGTCGGTCCGCGTGACTCCTCGTGTCCCGTACCGTTCTCACACATCCATAAACTCACTTTGGCCTCACTGAAGCGATGCCTCAATCCTGAATCCTCAGATTTTAGATTGGACGCTGTCTACCTTCTATCTATAGCTTTGCTCCGGCTCCGGTTCCTCCGCCGCCGCCACCCTCTTTCCAAAGTATGCACCCAAGTCCACTTGCCGCATGGACGGGCGCGCTTAGTGATGGGTAGTCACGCACCTAAACTGACCCTATCCTTCATGGTACACGCTCTAGTTGAGACGATGAGCAAGCAGAGCCGCGGTGCTCATTCCTTGACAGCAGCCGTGCGGGGAACTCACGCGGGGGATCTCTTCTTCCCGGCCACATCTGGAAACGGGTGGTGTTCCCGCCGCCATCGGTCCACCACCTCCGCCACCCGAAGAAGCGAGGCTTCTTGCCCCCTCCGGCGCCAGGCAGGCGGACCAGCCACTGGTCCGTCGCGTGCGGACAAGGGCGAACTCCTAACGCTTGCATCCGCTCCACAAACAGCTTCTCTGGCGGGTATAGGCGAGGGTCCACCACCCGAGGCAGCCCTCGCGAACGCGCGTCGTATCGAAGGGAGTACAGCGCCGTCGCCGTCGCGGTGGTCGCAAACAGAACATTGTCGATCACCGTCAGGTTCGCGGGGGCGACAGAGCGGGCTGCCCTCGGGTTGCCGTGCGAGAAGACGCATCCCGGATCGAGGACGGGCGGCAACTCCCACGTCGAGAGTATTAGATCGACCCGCACGCGGAGAACCCAGTCGGCGTCCCACTGGATGGCCTCCTGAACGCCTGCAGAGACTGCATGCAGCATGTTGCGCACGTTGCAGGCCCAAGGATGCGAATCGCATACCGCCGGCTTCATCACGATTGTTTGGGTGAAGAGGCTTGCGGGCAGAGCATAGTCGCCCGCCCATCGCACGTAGATCGATGTGACGCGTGCTCCCCGAGCGGCAACAACATCCTGTGCCGCGCGTACAGCTGCGCACCGTCCCCACCTTCCCCATGCCAGCCGTGAGTTGCCCGGCAAAGACGATCGCGATGCTCTCCATCAATATCGGTTTCGGCTGTGCTTTTTGTGCGCGCCGCAGCCTCGCCTACCGTACCAAGGGGACTCCTTCGGATTCCGCCCTTTCGGCTTTGTTCCTGCTGGTGGCAATCCCGATGGAGTCAAGTGGGCCCTCTCACGCCCGCCCCCCCCGCCCCGCCCCCCACCGTCGGGCGAGGCGTAGAGGGTCGGGCCCATACACCAGAACGCACCGCCACCACGCACCAGAATCGCGGCGCCGCTCCGCGGCGCCAGTGTTTGAATCCGGCCGTTACACAGCCGTTACACACGGCTGAAATGTGGGGCTTAACTCGGCGCATTCAGATTCACACCTCTGCACGGTACCTTTTTCGCGCCTTTAGATGTTCACAAAAAACGAGCGGTGTGACGTGGTGTCCGCGGCAACAGAGTCAGAGACAGTGTAGAGTGTATGTGACATGTACATGTACATGCAGAGCCGTAGCTCTTACGAACATTCCCGAAGGAGAGCGGCGTCCGGATTAGACATTGAGCGATTTTCGCACCACCCCGTACCCGTACTCAATCCGAGATCCGACTGGAATGCCCGTCGCAGGCCTCGCATCAAAATCGTAGCCGATAACTCGTGGAATTCAAGCCCAAGAGAAGGAGACGTCGTCCAGGAGCGCCATGTCCGACCTGTAATCTACTATTAATGTGTCTCGTGAAAAGGCCTCATTAGTCCTCGCATACGCGCGCGCAGGTTCCCGACGTGTTCCACCGCAGGCGCCGCGCATCAAAGCCGTTGACGCACCGCCGAACCGACATCCCGTGCACCCGTGTCTTGTTTGATCTGTGCACGAGCCGCACGACGCAAGGCCGGCCGCTCCCGTTCGTGAGCACGTTGAAGGAGGTCTTGAAGGTCTGGGTTGAGATCGTCGCCGAGAGCGTGGATACGCACGGGAAAGGGTGCGCCGCACGCGCCCACTGCCCTTGCCGACGTCCGCACATGCACCCATTGCACGATATGCAGAAGCTCCCAGCCGTTCTCCAGCTGCGCGTGTAGCTGAGCTCCACCGTCGCTGCCGCACATGCCCCAAGGGGAAGGACCGGCACGTCCAGCGCCGCTCCAATCGTGGTCGACTCGTAGTGCTCGTGATCGGAAGGACCCACCAGCGTCCACCCACGCGCAGTGGCGTTCAGCGCGCCGGCTCCTTCGCACACCTCCTCTGTCCGCGCGGCGGTGGCTGGGAGAGGAGGCGAAGGCGTACCGGCGCCGGAGCCGGTTCGCGGCGGAGCGGCCGCTTTCGCCCGAAGGAATGAAGCGACGGCGTGGGCCAGATACCGCCCTCCGGCGTCGTTCGGGTGTGTGTCGTCGGCGTAGTAAGCAGTCGCGTTGGCCATCCGCCGGAGCGGCGATGCGAACACCTTGTCCGCTTTCTCTTGTCTCAGATCGCGCTCCAACGCAGCTTCGCACGCGCGGAAGGGAAGGCGGAGGCTTGGCCAACCGACAAAGAGAATGGAAGCAGAGGGCGCTATAGCGCGCACGCTGCGCACGAGCCCGGTCACCGCGTTGGTACAACTGGCAGCCTGCAAGTTGGGCTCAAACTCGATAAGCACACTCGCCGTGTCCGGTCGTAGGTACCGACGCATGCAGCTCTGAAAGTAGTTCGGCAACACCGCGGGGTGCGCCCACACGGTCGAGGAGATGTTCATCTCCTCGTCCAGGTACTCGGTCCACGCGCGCCTGCTCCCGCGGCCGAAAGAGACCGATCCGCCGAAGACAACCAAATCACCCCTTGCTGACGGCGCTCGTGCCATGTACGAGTAGAACTGCGCCTACGGACAGCACGCCGCGGCGTGAGCGTCGAGACGAGTCCGCCGGCACGCGCTGTCTGTCGCGTCCACGGCGCTCGGACTGGCGAGCAAGCGGGCTGTGGCCGGTTGGCGTCAATGTTACAACAAACAATGTGTCTCAATGTTATCATTCGCTGCTGGTTCGTGGCACGCAGTTGTTCCTGTTTTGCTCCTCCTCTTCTGCGAGCTTCGGAGCCTGTATTGCAGCGTCGATGCCTACTGCTGCTCCCTCGACTGCTAAGAGAAGAGCTGCTGCCCACCCAAGCAGAATTCCAAAATTGTGTCA